TCCTTCTTGGCACAATTTGGAAGATGTGAGCCCCCTCTGCAGTGTTGAAAGCCTCACCAAAGCTGCAGCTGCGAGTGTGTCTCTGCAGGGAGTGTGGGGGCAGTGGGGAGCTGGGTGCCAACAGGGGGCTGGGGGCCCACAGGCAAGGTTGGGCATCTGGGTGAGTACCAAACACAGCTACTCTAACAGAGGAGTTTTGGAGAGGGAGGTACAGGAAGGAATTCTGAAATTATATCACAGCGCATGTAATTTTGTTTAGCATGACTTGATCAGGACCTAAATAGTGCTCTGGAGGGGAAAAGTTTGGAGTGAAGAAGTGGCTGGGCAGAAGGAAGAGATGAGAGTGGAATAGGGATTAGCATTAAGATGCTGTTCACAACTTCCTCCTGAGCTGTAGGAAGTCCAGGATGTGATGAGGAGGAGCTGCCAATAAACATTACTCTTCCCTTTTACTTCCTTTTTATTTACTTTTTTTTCCCTGTCTGACATATGGATTCCCTCTTTAGTCTGTGATCCAAAGACCTGGGTTGGTTCCTGGTGTTTTCCTAGATCCTCAAAACAAAACTCAATAAAGTCACATGCTGAGTGAATAATTGCCTAGAATTATAATCCAAGTGGTACCTCAAACATTCTTTAGGATATAACCTATGCAGCCATTTCAGCAGTGTTATGTCAGCTGATATGTGGTGGCTGGAAGTCATATTCCTGCTTTTGCATCATGCCAAGCAGACAAGGGAGCTGACATCTCCAAGCAATCCCAGGCAAGTTTGGGATCTAGTTTCGGTTTCTGTAACTTCCCTCACAGCACAAAATGCAGGAGGCCAGCCAAAACAGAAACTGCCTTTCTGTCCCAGCACATGGGAGAATCTCCTGGCTGGGATAGGAGAAGGTGCAGGGCTGAACAGTGGTAGGGTTGCAGGCGTGTTAGCATTCAGCATTTGGAATCAAGTGGAGACAGGTCCTCTCCTGCATGTGGATATGACTCAATACTGAATTAGAAGCCACCAATGCCACTGATGCTGATAGTGCTGTTTGCTGATGTGAGTGTTGCAGTTACAGGCTCAAGCAGGGCATGTTTGATTTTAATTACTGACACTGCAGAAATGGAACCCTTTTCTATCCAAGTGTGCCTTATTTTCCTAACACTGCTGTTGTCTGAGTAAAACATTCATTTCCCTGTTTCAAATATGGAGCAGCACCCAGAGAAACTTGGACCAGAGTCCCTGTGGGGATTTAGCAAGTTAGGAGGGTGACTATCCAAGTCCCTGGTGTGAGGTGGGAGCACTGTGGTGGGGCAGGTAGTGTGCCTGTCTCCAGGGCTCTGCAACAACTACTTGTGCATTGGAAGAAGAGAGGAATTGTAAGTGAAGCTTGCACCAAAATCTGGTTTTCCTGCATATAAAACTTAAATGAAATACTGCTTGCAACATACCAGTTCCCTATGTTTTAATGGGGGCTGTCAAGTAGCATTATAGGGTGTTTCCACTCCACATGTTAAGCAGGAAAATTTTTCCTGATGCAGAGGAATCTTTGGTGGAAATTTTGAAGGAAACAATTTCTGCCAGGATTACCTCACAGAGTTTTACCTTACACATGTATTTCTTTTGGATGATTCATCTCATTTCCTTTCAGTATGTGAATCCACAGGAGTTTATAGCTTTATGCACTCTAACTCAGTGGATTAATCTCAATGGACCAGCTGAGTAATGAATTTTTGCAATGCAGGCAAAAATTACATAGCAGAGTTCATATAGTGGTGTGTGGACTTAAAATTCAGGCAGCTCATATTCAGACACAGTACACTGCAAAGTTAATAGCATCAAGTTCTCCCTCTTTTTCTTTCTCTGCAATTGCCATACATACATGAGAGCTTTTCTAATACAGACCCCCCTCAACCCTCTATAGCATCTCTGGTGCTTTCAGTAGCCCCTAGGATTGCCCTCACAGCTAGATGTAGGGAGTGGGCCAACAGAGAAGTGCACACTCGAGTGAATAATCTCTGAGGCCTCTGTAAAGTCATCTGACAGCCCCTGAGGCTGAACATTTCCTCTGCACTGGGTTTTAAAGAAAGCCTGAGGCTTTGTTTCTTTAAGCAGCTGAGCTGCTCTAACAGCCTGCTGACTTTGAAAGAGGTTCTTTTATCCCCCACCCCCTTCATTTGTGGCTGGCTCTCCCTGAACTTATTTGGCTCATTACCCAAGAAGATAGCCACCTGCTTTCTTTTCCTAATTATTGTTCTTCTGGGCTAACAGGTCTGTATGCTGATGGAGCTGAAAGGTGGCACCAGGGGGAGGGGTGGTGAGGAGCAGAGGGGGGATGTGCAAACGGACTCCTCAGCAGGGAGAACCGGGGAAGCAGCTCAGGTGCTGTTTGAGGTACAGCTTGTCTGCCTCTGAAGGAACAGCCACTTTCCCAGCATGGATGCAGGCTCTTGGCAGACTCCAGGGTGAGTCAGCCATGCACCTTTACTGAACAGGCAATTTAATACCACAGAAAAGACAAGAAGTGTTGTTTTTTTTTCTCCAGCCTTTATTTCCTGAGCCAGCTAGCTGTGGGTTTGGAGAAGAACCAGGCAAACAGAAGGGAGAATGCCAGAAAAGCAACCAGGTCCAATGCTGGCTCCATGAAGCCTGAAAGAACACCTTACCTGTAGCTTCTTCCAGTCTTGGTTCTGAAGGGAAACCTACAACTAACTTTTAAAAGATAAGCCTAAAAATGGAAACCTAATTGTGCAGACTCTAACAACTGCAAATGCATTTTAAGCACTTCACAGAACAATGAAATTTGCTCCTTACACACTTCAAAGTTCCAAAGGTGCTGTCACCACATTGCTTTGCCCCTTGCCAGCTGACCCTGATGTCCCATAAGTACAAATCATGGGGCTGGCTGATCAAGTAAGGGCTGAAGAATGAAATTTGTGGCAGAGCATCTGTCCCCACCTAGGCTGCCCAAGAGCTTTGCTGAGGGCTAGAAAAGAGTCTACAGCAATACAGTCTTTCTCTTGTCAGCAGATTGCTCAATATATTGGGAGCAGTGCCTTTTCAAGTAAGTTTATTTCCCTGAGTGCAATTAATTATGCAATGTTCAAAGAAGAGCCTTGGATGATGCAGAAAGTGGGCTTTGCTAATGAAAGTGGGTCTAATTGCAGAGCAGATGTGTGGTCAAGCTGGGGAGCCAGCTCTGCCTTTTTGGGCAGAGGACGTCAGGGTGGTTATCCTGTTAGCATGACTGGTTGGGACCTTGATTGGTGCAGGTATGATTGTCACCAGCTTTAGAGGAAAATAGCTTTATTTTTTTATCTCCTAATGTAATGAATACACCAGGCTGAGGGTGAAGCTGTGATTGGATCTTAGGCCTGCTGCTATCGGTTGTGCAGTGTTAATGGGGTGCAATTTTCTGAAGATATTTTTACAGGTGCAAATCCACCCTAAAGGCACATGTGTACATGACTTTTCCCCAGCACCCCATGACAGGGTGGGAGGTTAATTTCTGTAGCCAGAAACAGGAGGTCTCTAATCCATGTATCACGCTTAGAGCAGATTGATACCAGCTACTTTTTATCGATGATGCAACAAAAAACCTTTTGTCTGTCTCATTTTAGGGCTGACAAGTGTGTGTAACCCTTCATAAATTGTTCCTGTCAACAGTTTCATTATGAAACACAGGCAGTCAAACATTGAGTCAATATCTTTCATCTTCTTCCTGATCCATATCACAAATTAGAAGTCACTTAAAAAGAGCTTATTAGAAAGTAGCACTGGCTTCTTATCTCAATTGCCTTCTGATTACACTTTGACCTGCTTTCCTAAATGAGCATGGTGATTGTCTCTTGAAGAGACGAGATCTTAAATAGAAGAAATAATGTATTTACAGGAAAAACACCCAGCTGATTGGCTTCTACCTTATAAATAGTCTAGCAGGTCCCAGGAACCTTCTCTAATTACCATCACTTCCCCCCAGTGCTCTGTGTGTGGGCTCAGAGCAGTTATAGCTTTTTGTCCCAACAGCAGTGACAGTGTGGCTTCTTGTCCCATGTCCAAGGGAACCCAGCCACCTGAGCTCTTCCCACATGTACTCAGATGGGAGCTGAATAGGAGGAAAATGCTGGATTATGACTGAATGGTCCTCGAAAGGCAGAAATTATGCCAGGATTAAGCCAGAGCTGTTCAGGGAAGAGCTGGCACGGAAGAAACCGGTGGGACAGTATCGTAATTTTATTATTGCCTTTGCCCTCTGGGGGCCATAATTACACACATTGGAGTCACACACAGTCTGCTGTGCCAGCGTGCTGCTGAACCTCAGGAGCCGGTGCCATATCATCCCAAAGTTCTTCTAATTCAAGAGGGCTGTTCAAGCAGGGGACACCTGGAAGGCCTCTGCTCCTGCTTAGGTGTCTCCAAGGCCGGAGATGATTTCCCTGCTGGGCTCAGAGAGTGCCTGGGGATGTACTAATAGGTGCTAATGCCAGGGGTATGCTTGGTCTCAGCCCAGCTCGGAAACAGGTTTTGCTTGTCTCAAGCTGCTGCAGCGGGTGCAGGCGCTGTGAGGGAAGCTGCGGGCTGCAGCGCCTTGCGCTGGATGCGGCCCAGCCCTGAGCTCTGCAATGTGCTCTGAGGGCCAGAGGCACACGGGGGCCCCAGCAGAGGCTGCTCCGGGGCACCGAGGTCTCCCCTCCTCCCGCCTGTTGCTGCCAGAAGAGGGGCACAGCACGGCTGTGGTGTCGGGCAGGAGCACCGCAGTGGTGTGCAGTGCTCAGCAGGGGTGACACTCGTGTGAGGCCGTGGCAGCAGAACGCTCGCTGTGCTGGCACTGCCCTGGCTGAACCACCGCCTGTCCCCTGGGCCTGCCACAGTGCATGGGACCAGAGAGTGCAGGCAGCCCCTTGGAGAGTCACCCCGAAAGTACGGAAGGCAAAAAGGGCCCCCTCCTGGGGCCCTGTGGCTGCTGGAGCATCTGTTCCAGGGTGGCAGGTCTGTCCTGTCCTCGTTCCTGCTGCGGGCTCAAAAGAGGCCAGCAGAGCTGAGAGGGGCGATGATGATGGGGGCATCAGGTGGGGTGAGGATGGGTGTTGTGTCCGATGTGGTCTCCTCAGCCTCACTCTCCACATCCTCCAAGCTCTCGCTGACAGAGGGGATGATCTGCACCACCTTCTCCTGAAAGTGCACTTGCTTGCGAGGGACTGGCACGGCCGCTGGCTGGACAGGAGTTTCTGGGGCTGAGCTCCTGTCCTTGCTGCCCTTCAGGATGCTCTTCATATGGCCCAGAAGAGAGCGGTGCTGCTCCCTCTGGGCTCCGTGGAAGGTGTAGGTCTGCTCAGTGTCACCAATGATGGTTGGGGCTGCCTCAGTTGCTGAAGGGTCCACATACTGGCCTCCCTGGGGATGTGTCTCTTTGTGCCCTGGGTTCTTCCTCCTCTTGCTCAGCAGGAAGTAGGCCAGGGCAGTGAGCACCAGCATGGACCCTGGGGACAAGACTGTGTTGGCTGAGGGTTCTGGCACATGAGAAGATCCTGCCAAGCAGCACTTGGTCTGGCTAGCCCAGTGCCATTGGCCACCAGCCCAGCTCCCTCTACATCCCCACCTCCACCCCTTGAGAGACTGCACTCCTCTTCCATCTGCACTACTGCCCACCCAAGCTTCTCACCAGGGATGGTGACATGCCAGACGAGGACGGGATGCAGGAAGCAAGCCACTGAGAGCAGTGTGTACCCCAGGAATTTCTGGAAGCTCCCTGGGCATCTAGCTCGCTTCCAGCAGGCCTGTGCCAGGGATTCAGGCTTGTGACTGGGGAGAGAAAGAGAGGTCCTTGTGGGATGAGGCACCAACCATATGCCAAGGAGATCTGGTCCTAACCATGACCTGTCTAGAATGTGCAGATCCTCACTCTGGTTTGTCAGGAGATGGGTGTGTTTTTCAGGGAAGGTAAGCAGAGCCTGAACATCTGTTGGGAGAAGCACATTTGCCAGAGACCAGCATCTCAGCATCTCACTAATTAATTGCCTATTATTTGGAGTAAAGTGTTGCCTCAAAGCTGTGAGGATTTTTGAGTTTATGCTAGAAGATAGCAGCGGTGCTCAGCTCCTGAAAAGGGCATAAAGATTGTCTACATTTTAAATTTAACTTCTATGCTGTCGCTGGAGGAAGCTGAGCCTCACCCTGGGGATCTGGCTCTTCCTTCAACCCTGGTGCCTTGTGCCTACTCACTGTGTTAAGCAGATGCTGAAGACCAGGGTTTGTTGTGCTGATGCTCAGGAAATTAAGGCACAAGTGTGGGTTATAACACAGGTTTAAATGGCTGTGTACATGGACCCATTTACCTCCCACCATCTGAGTGCACTTGCCTTGGCATTAGGGGCAGGACCTTTGGTCTGGCACTTGCAGCTCCCCCAGATCTGGTGATGCCTGTAAGGGGCAAAGTGCCTTTGGGAGGTCCCACCGTGGCTGGAGAGTAGTGGGCAGGGTCTACTCACGTGAAGCACATCTCCAGGAACAAACTGATAAAGAAGAAGCCTTCACAGACAGTAACTGCAACCCCTGAAAAACTGAAAGGTGGAGCTGTCAGGGGAGCAGGGCTGTATTTGATATGTTCTCCAGGTAGGCAGAAAAGACACAGAGGGCCAGAATTTACTATCCAGTTCTCACCACAGTCTGTGTGCTGGGGTCTGAACACCCTCTGCTCATCTGGTTTGTGGAGGAAAACTCACAGCCCTTCTGCCCCTGGGGAGTCAGCTTGCAGCCAGTGTCACCTCTGGCCTGCCTAAGTCTGCAGTAGCATCTCTTTTTCTAAAAGATATAGCTGATTTTTCTGGAACCTCAATATGGAGAACTGAAATACCCAAAGCCTTGGACACTGTTCCCTGCTGCTGTTGCAGTCTAGTCTGGTGTTACATATGGTGGAGGGGTTGACCTTGTCACCCCTGCCAGCTCTGATTTCAGGGGCAAAAATACTCACAGCAGGTAGAAAGCCAGGCTTTTGAACTGTCCTTGCTGCAGAGTTTCTACACCCACACCGATCAGCACTAGAAAGAGAAAAGGAAAGATGCTGACTGGAGGGATCATTCTCAATTCCCCTGGGTTAGTCCCAGCTCCCAGGATAGATGTCCCCATTTCCCCAGGGGCTATCAAGGCAGCTTTGGCCATGCAGAGCAGCATGTTAGGACTGCCAGCACCAGTGATTCATGCTGACACACCAGCCCAGAAGAGTCAGAGCTGAGTGCTGCCTTTGACATACAGCCCTGAAATCCATCCCTGCTGCACCCCTGTTATGGCAGCCTTGCCACTGCGTGGGCTGGGGAAAAGTGCTCTGGGAATACCAGCTCACTTTGTACAGCTGGGGGAGGTGAGCAGCAGCGTCCTGTGACCACTCCACCCTCTGCCATAGTGCCACATCTCAGCTGCCACAGGGCCCACTGCCCCATCCTTCTCTACCAGGGTCTCCCCATGCTTGAGAGCCCCTCTGCCTTGGCCTCCCTGCTTGTCCAGGCCTGCTGCACCCAACATGTGGCTGCAGAGCAGGGGAACTGTGCCAGCTGCCTTCACAAAGGGCTGTAGCCATAGCATCAGGATCCTTTGCTAGCCAAACAAAAAAACATATAATGGGAGCAGGCAGATTAAAAACACAGAATGAACATTCTCTCAGTGCCTCAGCCAGTACAGAGCACCAGGGAGTCAGTTTTAGGGGGATTACGAGTATTAGCAAGGCTAAAATCTTTGATGGATTGGCCAATAGCTTCAGGGGACAGAAAATTTCCTTCAGCATCCTTCAATTCCCTTCAAGATTATTTCTAAAATGAAGCAGAAATGTAATGCCTCACACCAGCTGCAGCAAGTTGGTGAGTACATGCCAATTCATAGGGCACAAGTCTCAGTAGTGTCGGGCTGAATGAAGCCCAGGTTTCATAGCCAGAGCATTGCCTTGGGAAATCTCCTGTCTGCACCTGATGTCTCCACCCTTCACAGAGCAGTCCCCACGCATCCACTGGTGCTCAAGAAGTTCACCACTGGTCCTGTCCCACATACACTGGCCAAGGTTTGAGGTGCAGGCTGGATCCATTTCTCTGAGCTGTGGTTTCCCCATCTGGAGAAGGGTACCAGGCTCCCAAACAAAAACATAGATTGGTGTCCATTGAGACTGCAGTGTAGGCCAATGCCAAAGGTCAGCTTTCCCATCTGGGCAGAAAAATATCTATGTTTTCCCTGTGTTTCCTGCAGCTGCTGGTCCTGGTCAGCCAAGGGAACACATGGGGCCCATGTGTCACTCTTCTACACTGCCTTTCCAGCCCTGAGCAGAGCACAGGAAAATCAGTCTCATCACAAGGCTGTGAACCTGCAAGAGTTGTGCAATCCTATGTGCAAAGTATTGTCTTTTACTATCTTGTGACTGAAGACCATTTTGTATAAGTCTTCCCTACAAATGTGGAAGTCATTCATTCTCATTCATTCATTCATCCATTCCCTGTGGATGAATGCACAATTCTACAGCTTGGCTGTTAGCTCAAGCCTCTGCTCTGGATGGGGAGATTTCCTCCTTTTGCACAGCTTCTGCTTTATCCACAAAGCTCTTTGGATGAAGAATCTGCAAGAAGAAAAGAGCTGTTTCGAGGTGTTTGTTTGGACTAGTCACTGCCTTGATTTGGATCTTGTCCAAACCATGTGGCTAAAGGCACATGATTAGGAATTAAATGGTTGAAAGCATGAGAATTAAGAAATAAGTAGGAACTCTCTCCTAGATGCAAAAATCACAGGCCTAGATTCACTGAACTAGAGATGCTGCAAACACTGCAGCAAATCACTGGGCTGCTTGACAACTCTTTGCTAACTTGCCATAACACAAGCTAGCCATTTTCTGATACAAAGTTAGCCCTGCAGCCTCACCATTGCAGAGAGGCATTACACTCCAAGATCTTGGGGGAAGGGGAGGTTTATATTATGTGGGTAACTTGTATTTACTAGCAGCATAAGGAGCTGGCCAGGCCTTCTCAGAATCAATTAGTGAGGCTGATGCACTCTCCATTTCATAGGTTTTTTTTCAAACAAAACCCATGGGAATTTCTTCAGCATGGTTTCCATTTCATTCGAAAGCCTCACACACCTCATCAGGCACTAAACACTGCATCAAGCTGATTTCTTACCCCATTGAAACACACAGAGGAATAAAACACAGGCACATCCCATTCTTCACAGGCCTTTTGGGAAAGTCAGGTGATACTGGGAATGCACCAGAGCTATGGAAAGGCACAGCAACTTGTAGTGCAGCTCTCTGTGCTCTGTGATGTTAATCTGACAGATAACGGCATTGATCATTTAAAAAAAAAAAAAAATTAAAGAAAGATATGCAGATGCTGCAAAATGATGAAAAAAAAAAAAACATGCAGGAGAGAAAGATGATATTCCACTAATACATTTCTACATTGTAAACTACTTTCAATTTTGTTGTTTCAGTTTTTTTCTCGAAAACAAGCTCACATTTTCTCTCAGGAAGGTCTCCATGTGTTTCCTTGGAGTTTTAAGTGAGAATATGACCAATGTGAGGCTCATAGGGGCCCAAAGGGATGGGGATGAAGAAATTAAGAGATCTGCATTTTCTGATTAAAGCTGTGTCCCATCTCCCACTGTTGCAGTATCATCATGACATGCACTTATCTACTGTGAGTTTGTATAAACTCAGAGACTCAGATCTCTGCTTGTTATTAGTATCAGTCCTTTAAAGCACATTCCAGAGCCTCCATCACCCCAGCTGTGTCCTTGGGAACCTGTGCACACTTCAGCTGACCTCTGTGCTTTCTACTTTGTCCCTGGTTTGAGCAAAGTGTCTCTTCATGACTGTCTGCAGCTGATAAAGGAAATACAAAGTTAGGAGGGCCTGCTGTGACTTACTCTGCAGTGTCTGACTCTGAAATCCCTGGGGTTCTGGAACAGGAACCACAGGCACCACCTCAAGTCACCTCTCACCAGGAACCTCTGGTTCACCCCTCCAGCTTTTAGACAAATCAGACCCTTTGATCTCTGCTTACTGATGGGGAAACTGAGGCAGAGAGTGCTGCCTGTCCTGTCTCATAATAGCTAGTCAGCAGCAGTGCCAGAGTCAACCCCTGAGCCCTCTGCTTTAGCTGATTCCCCAAGTCCCATCTTGAGGTGCTCCATGTGAGATGGTGTTCCATCCTCCCAAGTGAGTCACTATCTGACACCTGGCTCAAAACACCTGCTTTTCATCTGAAACCAAGCACTTGGGTGTGTCTGCTCAACCTGGCAGTGGGTGAGAGGATGCAACTCACCAGGTACCAGGTGGGTGAGTTTATGGTGTTTGTACTGCAGCTATAACCTGGACTGCTCTGAGCTGCTCCCTGACAGGCTGCTAGAGAGGCAGAGCAGTGCTTTTATGGTGACTATGCCATGATGGCTGGGACAGAATCACTCCATCCTGCCTGGCACAGGACATCTCATGGTGCACACTACAAGGAGCTCCTCCTTCATCTTCACATCCCACAGTGTAGCCCGGCAGTTTTCCACAGCCATGGGTATTTTGCTTTTCAGTCGCATTCACATCTTGCCTATCCTATGTCTATTTCAAAAGAATACAGTTTAGTTTTCTTGATTTGTTTTTGTTTTTTGTGTATGTTTTAGCTTGCCCTCTGAATGTTGGCTCTTCCTTTCTGATGTCTCACTGTGCCTCCCACAGCATTTGGAAAGAGCCTGGCCAGGCACCCAGCACTCTTCCACCCTAGGTCCCAAAGCAGAAGTGAGCAAGTTCCCTTGCCCCCCACATAGGATAGGGCTGTGGCTGCAGCTGGCCAAAGGCAGGGAGGCAGCCTGGAGGTCCCAGCACCCACTCAGTGCCTTTTAGTGCCAAAGACAAAGAGAATTTGCTCTTACCTGCTGCAGTGGAGATGCCCAGCAATCGGCAGGTATACTCCAGGGCGCTCCAAAATGCCTTGTGCTGCATGGCGAAGAGATGAAGACTGCGGTACAGCCAGACAGAAACTCCTCTTCAAAACCCTCACCTCACACGTAGCCCAGCGGCTCCCAGAAACAGGCAGAGCCTCTTGTTCCCTGGACTGAGTGACCTTCCTGAAGGAAAGGGCAGTGTGCAGGACTGGCCACCTCCACAGGGCCTCCCAGGGGAGGGTGGTCAGAGAATGAGCTGCCACCCCAGGGAACCGGTCAGCGCTGCTTCCTGCTGCTCCCGTGGGGGCTGTGGACACCCGGCCTTTTCCTGCTTGCCGCTTGCTCCTTCTCCTGGGGTGATTAATGATTGGTAAGGCAGGGGTGCAGCTCTGGGAGCATTTGTACCCCAAGTGCCTGGGTGCACGGCCTTCCCTGCTCCTGAGGTGGAGGCTCTGGAAGCCCAAGCTGATTAAATGAATGTGAAGTCATTAGTGCTGTGCAGCTCCCGGCAGGTTAACCATTTGTGAGGATGACAATGTTTGCTCTTGGCAAGAGAGCAGCATGTTTCTGGCAAGTCACGAGGGGCACCCCAGACCCACTGCGTCCTGCAGCTGAGTCCCCAGCCATGGCTGCTGCTCACCATCCAGGTTCCAACTAGTACAGCTTGAGAAGTGTCTGTGCTGATGTGCAATCACAGGAGCAAGATCAAACATATTCAGAGGGGTCCCACAGACTTGGGACAGCCATAGGAAGAGAGATGTGATTTTCTCTTTTTGGGAACACCAGTGAAATATATTTTTGTTTTTCTAGCTACCAGAGCTATTTGAACAGCATCAGGGTCTCACAAGTGTCATAACACATGGAACGAGCTGCACAGGTACTCTGACCTCTTTGCTTTGGATTTGGTAGACAGCCTGGGGGTCCTTGGCTTGTCCCTGCAGTACACACTGCCTCAGGAGAGGGGCAGCCCTACATATATCTGAAGGACAAGACAAAAAAACACTCGCTGTTCTGGACCTCAGCCCCACAGTCCTTTGTGCTTGAACAGGGTACATCTCGCTGGAGGTCACCATCAATCCCCATCTGCTGCCACTCAGGGAAGAGGTGGTGTGGGCAGCAGTGTGGCAGTCCTGGCAGGAGGGTCATGTGAGCACAGCACAGTCCCAGTGGGCAGCACAGATGTGAAGTGCCAGCAGGGCGGCGGGTTCACAGGTCAGTGAGCTCACCTTGTGCTGCAGCTGGAGTCTGGAGAGTCACTGCAGCCCCTGCCCCTTGTTGTGCTGGCTGGGAAGCTGCTGCAGGCAAGGGACTGTGTGAATCATGCTCAACTCAGAGCCAGCCTAGCAGGGAGGGAGCAACCAGCTGAACCTGTCCCCCCCGTGATCCCTTCTCACCTGCCTGACACCACAAAGCTGAGACTGGCCAGTATGTGTTGTACTGACTTGTCTTGGGGGTAGAGATGATTTGCATCAAGGACATAGTGACAGCTTCTCCTCTGTGGGTTCTTGGTCTGTGTTTTAAACCAGTATTTTCCCAGGACAGCCAAATGCCTGAGCTTATGAAATGGGTTCATGATTCCTGTAAATAACTGCTGATACTGGATTTTTGGACATTCAAAAGGTTGTGAGTGGCAGAGATTTTGCAGCAGGCAATCCTGACAAGGTTAGAGCACAGTGCACATTTTCCACGTGAAAAATGGAGAGGCCCAAAGGAGAAGGGTTTTCAGAGCATCCTGAGGGGCAATGCTGAATGGTGCAAACCCAACTCATGTCTTTGATTTGTGGCACTGTCACACTTTGGGTGTTCCCATTTCCTGTTGTCCTCCTGCACCACCTCGGGTGTTTGACGGAACTACCCGTTTTTCCACAACTGGTGACTCAGTGGTGAGCCTTCCTCTTCAAGAGAGTGGAATCAGAGGCAGCCAACAGGGAAGGTCACACAAAGGCTGAGTAAAAACCCTACTGGGGTACCTGTTGTACTGCCTGCTATGGCTGGGCATTGCCTGGGTGATCCCCATGCCCTCTAATCGTGCTTTGCTGAAGGCTCCAGGAGCACCCTCTGCTTCCAGTGATCACCAAAACTTCCTAAAGGTCCAGGAGGTTATGGAATACAGATTCACAGAGTATTCTGAGCTGGAAGGGACCCACAAGGGTCTTTGGGTCCAACTCTTAAGTAAATGGCCCATACACGGATTGAGCCCACAATCTTGGTGTTATTAGCACCATGTTCTAACCAATTGAGCAAATCTCAGGGATTCCCAGGCTGTACAGGTTGTGCAGGTTCTTTCAGGTTGTGCAGAGAGTCTGGATTTTTTTTTGTCCTTGCTGTCATGTAGGAAAGTACTTTAAGAGCAAATAGAGGAAAGAAAGATATAAGAGTCTTTCAGAATCACTTAGAGCCATGAGTTTAGGCTTGAAGAGATGCAGAAAACAGTGCAGCCCTGAGCTATGACCACCCATCCTTCAGCTGCACCCAGCAGTGCTCAAGGCAGCAAGCTGCTGCCTCCTCCCGAGGTGGGGGTCCTCTTAGCCAACACGGGCAGTACAGCATACTGGGCTCTTACTCTGGCACTCTTCTTAAACTTCACTAAGCTCTCACACAGAAAGTAAATGACTTTTTCTAAGTGCCCTTCACAGCAATGTTTCCCTTTTGGAAAGCAACATGCCCTAGGGTTTTAAATAAATGTAAATGTATGGGTGCCAGTGGTGGTGGTCACGGAGGAACAGAATCTGTTTGGAAAAAGCAGATTAATACATTAACCATTTAAACTTTCCATCTCCTCCCCGTGTTCCTTTGGCTACTACCCAGCCTCCATCCTCTGAGTGGGCCTATATTAGCCTTCCTGAGGGTCCTTGTCCTCCATATGGGGAGACCCTTAGCCTGGGGCAGCATAACACCTTCACTCGCTCTTCCTGGTGCACTAGGTGTTTCTCTCGCTCAGTGTTTCTCTCACCAGTGCCCAGCAGGGTAGCATGGAGTGAGCTGGTATTCTCAGACTTCACTTGTATCAATACCCATTTAGCAGCTCCTTCCACTTAGGACTTTTTTGGCTTGTGCACTTACAAAGCAACCTCACAAGAACTTGATTTTTCTTGGCAGAAGAGTCCCTTCTCCTTCTGTCTCTGTTCAAGTGGGGACATGATACCCTTAATGAAGGTGTGTTTTAGTGAGGTTTATAGGAATGAGTTTATGCAGTCAGAAGAGGACTGACAACTTCTGAGCTTAGAGGGGTTTAATAGTCTGTAACCAACATTGCAAAACCTATGCACCAGCACAAGCTGGTGTGGGACACGTAACAGCAGTGGTCCCCACAGCACATTAAAGCACTCCTCCTGCACAGAGGCTTACCATTTGCACTTTGGCTGCCAGCCAGGATTCACATTTACAGTCTGCTTCCCATGATGTATGGGTTGATTTGAGAGGATTTTATCTCAGCATTATGGCTTCATTGGTCATGCTAGTCTCTGTCTTCATCTCTCCCTACTCACACTTTGTTCGAGTCAGTTTTGCTGTGGCACGACCACTGTGGCCATTCTTCTGTGACCAAGGCCACAGGGTAGCATCTGGATTGGCTGCCCCAGTAAGGATGTAGGGGAGCAGCACACTCACCTCATGTTTGTCTCTGCAAAAATGGTGGTGCTGCAAGACTGCTACAGATAGTGGAGATCCTATCCTGGGGCATAGGGTACTACAAACCATGCTCTGGAAAAAACCTATGGGAACATGCTAAACTTAGCTTGCTCAAGGTACAAAAACAGTTCCCAAAACTGCCTTGGACAATGTTCTGGAAATCTGTTTCTGATATTTCATCTCCTCTCTTCATCCCTCAGCTATAACCACTATGTCAGGTAGCCTTGCTCAGTAGCCTTGGTCCCCTCTCTGAGCAGCAGCAGCTGAGGTGCCCCCACCAGAATGTCCAGCTAAGGCAGCCTGACACCAGTGCTCTCCCTTGTCTGCCAGAGGACAGGGAGCCAGCAGGCGGCTGCCCAGAGCCTTTGCAGTGGTGCCAAGTGCCACCTCCCTGTGCCCTCCATCCACCAGGTCACCTGCCATGGAGAGGAAATGGACTGTCACCACAGCAGGCTGATGGCAGATGCACCCAGTCCATTGGTGGACTGCAGCTGTGGGTTCACTGGCTACGAATATCTCCTTGCAGTCAGCAAGAGTTTCACTCTGCCTTGTATCCCCAGAGGTCCACTGCTTTCCAGACCAGTCTGAGTGTACTGACAGCATCCTGAGGTGAGCTTGGCAAACCTCCCTCCTCTCCTGAGCCAGGGGAAAACATGGCAGAGGGCTGCCTGAAGTCACATAACCAGCAGAGCTGAAGAGAAAATCCTAAGTGTGCCGCCTCTTCCTTTGCTGCAAGAGGAAATTATGCCCTCTGCAGTCTCCAAAGCCGGGGCAGCACTGCAGGCCGTGCTGGGGATGCCCGGCAGGGGACAGCAGGACCCCACCACTGCACAGACAGCCCTCCCTGGGCAAGGCAGGCTGCAGCCAGCCCCCTGCAAGGCGGGGATGAAAAGACATCGTTAAGTTTTACTGTTTGAACAGGAAAAGCATGACAGCCACAACACGGATCTGAAGGGGACCGGAGAGAGCCCAGAGCCACAGTGAACACAAATCACCAGCTGGCCTGTTGTGCTTTATGCTCTGCGATCAAAGGGATCAACACGCTGCTGAGCGCTTGTCTGCTCCTCCGGGAATCTCCCACCCCAGCAGAAATGCCAAGGCTCAGCAGCAGTGTCCCGACGGTCCCACATCCGAGGAGCCGGCCCCAGGAGGCTCTGGCGTGCAGCTCCAGTGCTGCAGGCTGGACCAGCAGAGAGGGTGAGCTGGAGGGGCTGGTGAAGAGCCTTGGTACTCCCAACCCCTCCTGGGGACCCTCTAGCTGCCGGCACAATTGGAAAGACACTGCATTTATCCCGGGGCCGGGCCTGATGTCTGCCCAGTGTGTCTGCAATGGCTGGGGGCTGAGGTCTCATCCAGGCAACCAGTGTTAATAAAACTCACAACACATGGTGGTGTGGGATCATGTGGTCATGATACTGGGGAAGGGGGCTGAGGGTGATACCTCCGTGGCAACCTGAAGCAGAAAATGAATGTAGCAACAGATCCGATGTACTTGTGAGGATCTCACAACCTCTACAGCACCCCTATCACTCTGACTTGCTGGTGATTTCTGCATTCCCTGTGAAACCTGCAAGCCTCCTCACCCCAGGCCCTCGCTCAGGAAAGCGACCTCCCAGCATGTCAGCATGAACTTCCTTTCTCTTATTTGGTCACCTGTTTGACACCAACATTAGAGGCTTTCCAAAATGTGGACTAATACCAGTTCCCCTGTGGCAGCATGTGTGAGGGGCTCCTGGCTGGCCATCTCCCAGGAGTGGGGTACAGCTCTG